CCAGGAGTTGGAGGTTGCTGTGAGCTGTGACGCAACAGCACTCTACCAAGGGTGATAAAGTGAGACTCTGTCTCCAAAAAAAAAAAAGGTAGCGCCTGTAGCTCAAGCAGCTAAGGTGCCAGCCACATACACCAGAGCTGGCAGATTCGAATCCAGCCTGGGCCTGCCAAACGACAATGATAACTACAACCAAAAAATAGCTGGGCGTTGTGCAGGGTGCCTGTAGACCCAGGTACTTGGGAGGCTGAGGCAAAAGCCCAGGAGTTTGAGGTTTTTGTGAGCTGTGACGTCATAGCACTCTATCCAGTGACAGCTTGAGGCTCTGTCTCAAAAAAAAAAGGTTTAAAAAGTACTTATTTTCTTTAGTATATACTGTGGAAAACAAGCAACTCTTCCCTATTTTTTTCAAGCCTTTCTCTTTTGTCTATTGTTTTTTTTTTTTTTGGCAGTTGTTGGCCATGGCTGGGTTTGAAACCACCACTCCTGGTATATGGGGCAAGTGCCCTACTCCTTGAGCCACAGGCCCCGCCCTCTTTTGTCAATGTTTCCCTCCCCCATTTTTTGGTTCAAGATGCATCTCTGGGTTCATTACCTCTCAGAGGCTTTCTCTAACATCCCTACTTGAAGTAGAAGTCTTTGCCTCATTCTTTCTTACCATATTGCAATGGAAGCTTGCCTGACTTCGTTATCTTCTTGTCTGTGAGCTCTTTGAGTGCCGAAACTATATATATATATTTTTGAGACAGAGTCTCACTTTGTCTCCCTTGGTAGAGTGTGGTGGTGTCATAGCTCACAGCAACCTCAAACTCTTGGGCTCAACTGATTCTCTTGTTTCAGCCTTTCAAGTAGCTGGGACTAAGAGATGTCCACCAGAACTCCCGGGTATTTTTAGAGAGGGATCTCGCCCAGGTAATCCACCAGCCCTCTGCCTCCCAGAGTGCTAGGGTTACAGGAATGACCCATGGCGCCTGCCTCCAAACTGTGTTTAAAAACAACAACAAAAAACCCTACCCATTTCCTGGCAGAATATCTAACACTAGTTGGGACTTAGAGTAAACATTTGTTGACAGTGAATGGTATAGGTTACAGTAACCCAAATGGTAACCCGGCTTCCCAATGTAGGACACAAAAAGAAACACAATAACAAAACAAAGGAGGAAGGCACACAGATCTTCCGCATTATAATTTGCATACCACACCTTCCCAGGACTCTGAATGAACTACTTAAAATCACCTCTTTTAGGAGATGAAGCTGTTTATTCTGTTCGAGTTTTGTTCCCTAATGAGGTATCTGCATCCGTAAGGAGGCCCGTAAGTAGTGAATGAGGAGGAGGGGAGGGTGTGGTATGCAAATTAGCCGGAGAAGGATTTGTCTGCTTTTGTGGAACGCTTACTACTTCCGAAATAGAAAAAACTATTCTCATTATCAGGGCTGTACAAAGTTTTCTTGAATGATTGGGAGTTTGGACGGCTAGAATACACGTTGGTGATTTGATTTTTTTTTTTTTTTGAGACAGTCTCACTTTGTCGCTTTCGGTAGAGTGCTGTGGGATCACAGCTCACAGCAACCTCAAACTCTTGGGCTTAGGCGATTTTCTTACCTCAGGCTCCCGAGTAGCTGGGACTACAGGCACCTGACACAAGGGCCGGATATTTTTTTGTTGCTGTTTGGCTGGGGCGGAGTTCAAACCTGCCATGCGCCCTACTCACTGAGCATAGGGTGCCGCCTAGCACGTTGGTGATTTTTATATGACTTTTCTAGAGTTTTAAATATTAGTTTAATAAACAGGAGGAAAGGCGTGGTTTACGCCAGTAATCCTAGCACTTTGAGAGGCCTAGATGGGCGGATTGCTTGAGCTCAGGAGTTATAGACCAGCCTGAGCAAGAGCTGGACCCCATCTCTAAAAATAGCTGGGCGTTGTGGCAGGTGCCTGTAGTCACAGCTATTGGGAGGCTACCAGAGAATGGCTTGAGCCCAAGACTTTGAGGTTACTGTGAGCTGTGATGCTACAACACTCTACCGAGGGTGACAAAGCGAGTCTGTGTCTCAAAAAAACAAACAGGAAGGACTTCTGCCCAATTAATAGGCTACCTTGTATGTATGGTGCATTTTTGTAATGAACATAATATGAAGCAGAGCCTTTCATAGTAGTTGTGTAGGTAGGTTTTTTTCTTTGAAAGTTAAACTACAAATTTTATTTTTTTTGAGACAGTCTCATTTTGTCATCCTCGGGAGAGTGCTATGGCGTCACAGCTCTCGGCAACCTGAATCTTGGGTTCAAGCCATCGTGTTGCCTCATTCTCCTGAGTTTCTGGGGGTACAGGCGCCCCTACAATGCCTGGCTATTTTTTTTCCTTTTTTTGAGACAGAGTCTCAAGCTGTTGCCCTGGGTTGAGAGCTGTAGCCGTCATAGCTCACAACAACCTCCAACTCTTGGGATCGGGGGGTACTCTTGCCCCTGCTTTTTCTTTTTTAGTAGATACGTGGGTCTCGCTTTTGCTCACGCAAGTCTTGAACCCGTGAGCTCAGGCACTCCACCCGCCTGGGCCGCCCAGAGTGATGGGATTTTAAAGGCCGGAGCCATTGCGCCCTGCCTAAATTACAGATTTCAAACCTTTGGGTTTAGGTTCCTGTGTTCTTAATTCTTCCGCGGGAGACAGAGGGAGAAGGGGCCGTGATGAGCAAGGCTCTTAGAAGGACTTCGTTCTTTGTGATTCCGCACGCTGTAGGAAACCACTCTCCCTCGCTTTGTCTAAGGACGCAGGGTTCTAGCATGTTGTTTTTCTTCTTTTTTCTTAAGCTTACCGAGTTCCAGATACCGAACAGACTATTTTATCACACTTGTCATTCTCAATTTTACAGCTATTGAAAGTGCGACTCCACTTTAGGGTTGTGCCTTGCGTCTTCATCTCGGCACACCGCGCCCTCATCAGCGTTCCCAGTCCACCTGAGCCTTTGCCGGCCAGTTTTTACTCCTTCTAGGCCAGTTAGTGTGAAGCGGGTGTGTGTGCGGTGTTCGGGCCTGGCTGGGCGCGAGGGCGAGGGCTGCAGCACCAAGACGCACACCACAACTCGGTCCAGCGCTCGTCTGGCTTTTCCCTTTCCCTCAGCCTAGGCGGCTGAGCAAGCAGAAACCATAGAGCTGTGACACAGCCCAGAGCGTCGCTCCCCAGGCCGCCGAATGCTGACGCCAGCCGGGGGCGGGGCCACTGGAGGCCGAGGGTAGAGGCGGGAGAAGCCGGGAAGGGGAGGGCTGGGCGGCCCTGCAGCGCCCCCGCGTGGCCGCGGCCGGGAGCGGTCTCGTCGGCCCTGCGGCGCTGGAACCCTGACGCACGGAGCTCGAGAGCGAGAACTAGAGAGAAAGGGGTAGAAATGGCGGCTCCGTTCGGCTCCCGCTGAGGAGGGTGAAGCCGGCGGAGTCTGTGCTGTCGGCTTGCAGTGTTGCTCCCGTCTCCCGCTATCTGCCTTCTCGCACGGACTTCTCTTCCTCTGTCCTGCTCTCTGCTGTCCTTGTCTGCGCTCCGCAGAGTCGGGGCCGGCTTGTCTCTGCCCGCCCGGCTCGGCTCCACTGGCCCTGACTGCCCGGCCGGCGGGCCGGCCTTCCTCGGCTCTCCCGGGAGCGTCGGGCGCGGCGAGGACTCCGTCCCCCTGGCTGGACCATGGTGAACACCCGGAAGAGCTCGCTGCGCCTTCTCGGGTCCAAGTCTCCAGGGCCCGGGCCTGGGCCTGGGGCCGGAGCAGAGCCTGGGGCCACCGGAGGCAGCAGCCATTTCATCTCCTCTCGGACCCGCTCCTCCAAGACCCGCGCTGCCAGCTGCCCCGCCGCCAAGGCCGGGGGAAGCGGTGGCACCGGCGTCGCTCTGGACGAGGCCCGGGTAAGAGCGCGGGGGCCCGAGTCCGGAGGCTGGGAAGTGCCGGCCCGGCCGCCGGGGCTTTGTCTGGCCGGGTGGAGGGCAGGAAGCCTCCAGTGGGGACTGCTCGGGCGGCTGGAGACGGGCTCTGCGGGTGCGGTGGAGGGTGGCACCCAGGTAAAGGGTCTCCCTCTATTCTAGGCTTTTTGCTTTGGTGGCTCGGCTCTTTTGTGTAAAAAACCAGCACTGAGTCCGGAGGAGAGGGTTTCAGGGTCCCTTTCGGGGCTTTCGAAAGATCTGCTTCCCGTGTCCTTGTCCTGTCTCAGAGGGGAATTCTAGGGGAAGCGAGAGCAAAGGGCTGGAGTCCCTGGGTGGAAGGGTTGGAGAAGTGAAAGTTTTCTGAGGTGTCAAACCCTTCTTGAAAGTGTGTCAGTTCCTGCCGCTGTCTAACTTCAGCTTACTCTCAGTTTGGGGGTGGTTCAAGTTGGTGAGGAAGTGAACAGAGAGCTCCAGTTGGCAGCTAGGCAGGGATGCTGCAGAAAGTTTGTAGCTTCTCTGACACCAACTTTAAAAACAAAATCTACGCTATCGCCTCTCTAGGCAGGAGAGATCAAACACAACATTGTAGCTGCAGAACCAGCTAGCCAGCTAAACAAGGTTAGGGATAAGAGAGCTTTCTGGTCACAAAAGGAAGGAGTCCAAAAAACCCCAATGGAATGTTTTGGATAGTCGGCCCTGTCAACCCAAAATTGTGGTTTGTTGGATGTCTGTGTTTTTATTATGGTACTATATCACAGAAGGGGAATAAACACCATCTTTGTCATAGATTTGCAAAAGTGACATTTGAAGAAGAGGATAATGATTTAGTTATTTGGGGAAAAAGTGGTTGAAAGACCTTGAAAACTTTTTTCCTGCAGTTTAAAAAAAACGAAACTTGTATAGATATTTGCCCCTTTACAGGGATTGACACATTTTTGTTACTATGTGATTGGTTCGGAATTCAGAGAAGAGTCCACTGCTTCTGTCTAGGAAGTGGTTAACTTGCTAAGTTAAGTTGGCTAAAAATGCTTTTCATTTAGAACATTCCTTTAAATTTACACCATTTTGCTATTATGGCAGTATTTAAGTTCCGTAGGGTTCTACAGGATTGCAGTTTGTGTATGCTTTCGTATTGTTTTGACACAAATCAGAATGGGATTTATGCAAACGCAACAAATACTTTACCATTCCATTCTGAAATCATGTATCTTTGAAAATATTCTTGTCTTTTATTTGCTAAAAATCTGAAATTATTTTTAGAACTGTCCTATTTAATAGACTATTTTGGGGGCTTACAGATGTCTTAGGTTGAAATAAGAAAGCTAAGTCTGAAAGTTGTGCCAAAAGATTCAGTATAAGTATTCTGAAGACAAGGCTTTCTGTACCAAGTATTCCAAGCATGTACAAACATCTTGACTTACTGATGCTATTATATATTTTAGAATAAAAGTAAATAGGAGAAAAGGCCTTTCCTTTATACTAAGGACAAATAGAATATTTAGAGTGTAAGCATTTAATTGTACCATGTTATGAATGCCTAGTCTTCTATTAGAGCAGTGTCTCACTCATCTGAGGCAATTAGCTCATCTATCAATAATCAGTTTGTGGTCCCATTTTTGAATTCATGGCTATCATGCTATCCTTACCCCCTGAGGAATAAGGTGAGGTAATTTGTCAAGCAGCTGTTATGGAGATGTTAAAAGGCAAGGAATCAATAATCTAATGTAGAAATGAACATATGGTAGCTTTTAAATTGCTAGAAGAATGAAACATATTAGAGCTCTTTCTAGAAGGATACAAATGAAATACTGTTTTAAGGACCCCTAAATGTTTTAAAGATCATAAATAACAGGCTACTGAAGATTTACTTTGAATTATTTGTTTTTCGGTTTTAAGAAGATTTGTTACAGCTTTAGTAAATGATAGTTACCTAATTGCTTTTTCTGATAGATTTTAGAGACTTAATGTAAAGTAGTGATTGGACCTTTAGAAGAGGATGTTATAATTCTGATTTATTAAGTTTATGGATTATACATTTATGAAGCAGGTTGTATATTTACTTCCTGTATTTCTGAAGTGGATTAATTTGAACTTGTTTAGCTCTTTCTCTCCATTTGCATTTACAGAAATTTAGCACTCCTGGTTCATCCTTTCTGTTGTACTTAAAGGCGCGGTCTTTGTCTGTGGGGTCTGTTCATAGACATTTGTTAGTGTCTGTAAAGTCTTACTTGATGGAAAATGAGATTGCCCATATATTGTTACCTAGAATACTTATTTTTGTAAGAAGTGTATTTATCTTTGTAAAATATGTAATTGAAGAGTTTCCCCTTTTTCATTTTTTTTTTTTAAAGTGACAGAGTCTCACTTGGTTAGTGCTGTGGCATCACAGCTCACAGCAACCTCCAGCTCTTGGGATTAGGTGATTCTCCTGCCTCAGCCTCACGTGTAGCTGGGACGACAGTCGCCTACCACAACAGCCGGCTATTTTTGTTGTAGTTGTTGTTTTTGTTGCAGTTTGGCCTGGCCGGGTTCGAACCTGCCACCCTTGGTATATGGGCCAGTGCCCTACAGACTAAGCCACAGGCACTGCCCCCCTTTTTCTGTTTTTGTGCTGTGTTCCTCCATTAACTATGCTTGATGCTGATTTTCACTTCTTTCTTTTCTGTTTGTAGAGTATTTCATTTATTATATCTAGAGACATTTCATTTGCTTTAAAAAACCATAGTACTCAAAAGCTTTTCCTATATTTTTGCCTTTTTGCCAAGAAGTATATTTGGAGGATAGGGGATAATTATAGGAATACATTCTGCAGGCTATTGGGATAACTTATTTTCAGTGTTAAAACTTTTATTTTTCTTATTAGTTTTAATATGTAAAAGGCTGGTTTTTTTTTTTTTGGAGACAGAGTCTTACTATGTTGCCCTTGGTAGAGTGCTGTAGCGTCACAGCTCACAGCAACCTCAAACTCCTGGGCTTAAGCCATTCTCTCATCTCAGCCTCCCAGGTAGCTGGTGCTACAGGCTCCCGCCTGGCTATTTTTTGTTTAGCTGGCCCAGGCCGGGTTTAAACCCACCACCCTTGTTGTTTGTGGCTGGTGCTGTAACCACTGTACTGTGGGCCCCGAGCCTAAAAGGCTGTTCTTAATGTATATAACTTCATTGAGTTTGGGGATTAAGTATCACCCATGAAGCCATCACACCATCAAATTTCCTTGCTCCCTTATTACTATATATATATTTTTTTTTATTGTGTGTGGCAACACTTCATGTGAAACCTACCCTCTTAGCAAATTTTAAGTATACAATACAGTATTCATAGCTGTAGGCACTAGCCTAGTATATAGTCCTTTTTTTTTTTTTTTTTTTTTTGAGACAGAGTCTCAAGCTTTCACCATGGGTAGAGTGCTGTGGCATCATAGCTCACAGCAACCTCCACCTCTTGGGCTTAAGCGATTCTCTTGCTTCAGCCTCCCAGCTATTACAGGCACCCAGCTATTTTTTGGTTGCAGTTGTCATTGTTGCTTAGCAGACCTAGGCCGGTTCGAACCCACCACTCTAGATGTATGTGGCCCGGACCCTTGCCTACTGAGCTACAGGCACCACCCCTGTAGTCATCTTCAGAACTTATTTGACTAAGTGAAACTTTGTTGCCTTTGATCATTTCCCCATTTCCTCCTCCCCCTCCCCTCACCAGCAGTCACTCTTCTACTATGAGTTTGACTATTTTAGATTCTATGTGTAGGTGAGATTATATAGTACTGTATGTTTTTGTGACTGACCGGCTTATTTTACTTAGCATAATGTCCTCCGGGTCCATCCATGTTGTCACAAATGGCAAGATTTCCTTTTTTTTTTTTTGCAGTTTTTGGCCTGGGCTAGGTTTGAACCCACCACCTCCGGCATATGGGGCTGGCGCCTACTCCTTTGAGCCATAGGAACTGCCCAAGATTTCCTTCTTTTTTAAGATTGAATAATATTCCATTCTACATACACACATGTACACATTACATTTTTAAAAATAAATGCATCTATCATCAGACATTTAGATTGTTTCCATATCTTGGGTTTTATGAATATTGCCATAGTGGAGTGCAGATATTCCTTGAAATCCTGATTTCAGTTCCTTTTGGTAAATACTGAGAAGTGAGATTGCTGGATCATACGTCAATTCTATTTTAAAATTTTTGAGGAACCTCCATACTATTTACTATAGTGACTATACCATTTTAGTTTTCCACTGACAGTGTAACTGCATTCCCTTTTCTCCATATCCCCCCAACATTTGCTGTCTCTGGTCTTTTTGGTAAGTCACTGTGGTTTTGATTTGCATTTCCCTGGTTAGTCATGTTGAGCCCTTTTTCATATACCTGTTGACTATATATCTCCTTTTGAGAAATGTCTGTTCAGAGTTTGACCTCCTCTGTCCCCATTTGAATACCCTTGATATCCTTCTCTTGCCTGATTGCATTGGTTAGAACTTGCAGCACTATGTTGAATAGCAGTGGTGAAAGTGGACATCTTTGTCTAGTTCTGAAATGTCTATTCGGAATCTTTGATTTTTATTTATTTTTTTGCTGTGGTGTTAACACATTTTGGAGTTTCTTACATATTTTGGAATTTAACTCCTTATTGCATTATGGGAGAAATATTTCCTCCCAGTCCATAGGTGGCCTTTTTGCCTACATGTTTTTTTTTTTTGAGACAGAGTCTCACTATGTTGCTCTTTTTTTTTTTTTTTTTTTTTTTTTGAGACATTGTCACTGGTCGCCCTCGGTAGAGTACTATGGTGTCATAGCTCACAGCAACCTCCAACTCTTGGGCTTAAGTGATTCTTTTGCCTCAGCCTCCCAAGTAGCTGGGACCACAGGCGCCCACCACAACACCTGGCTATTTTTTTATTGTAGTTGTCATTGTTGTTTGGCAGGCCTGGACTGGGTTTGAACTCGCCACTCTGGTGTATGTGGCTGGCACCCTGGCAGCTGACCT